TCCGGAAGTCTGAGAATACAAAGAACGTATTATGTTTACAAACTTTCGGGGCATTCCATGGTGGGCAAGCGTCTCAAGAAGAACAGACCGATCAACCGAGTCGAATGCGTCTCGGAAATCCAGGAATACTAGAATCGTGGGTCGCTTATATGTATGGCGTTGTTCTAGTACCTGACACAGTATGAAGATGTGGTCAAAACAACCCCTACCAGGCCGGAGTCCCGCTTGCTGTTCTCGAGTCAGTATCTCACGAGCCACCGTAAGGCGACGAAGCACAATTGACGCCAACAGTCTCGTTACAACCGGGGTCAAGCAATCGGGAAATTGAGATAGGAGTACCAGTCCAAACTTTTGAGCCCTATTTAGGCGTTCGGGGTCTCAACGATGCTGGGAAATTATTCCCCCTGACTTATCCGCCAGAGGTATGATTGCCTTAGCGGACAAAGAAATTTGGTGAGCTGCAAAAATATGAATGTAGATTGGGATGGTTTTTGGTTTGAGCACATACGCAACAAAACTCAACATTTTGGCGCAAAAAGTATTGGCATGCTGCGTACAGCCGAGCTGGGGTCACTGAAACCAGGACTAGAGATAAGCAGTGAGTCTTAAGGAGTACGCTGAATGCTCTGAGCCTACCTAGACATGTGTAAGTAAGCAATCACTCCGGTGGACGGGCATCTTAAAAGTTTCGATTGGAGCTGTCGCATGAGATTGGACAAAAAATAATTGTAGTTAGATTCGGTCAGGTCTAAACGTGGTTGTAAGTGACACAGTGGTGGTGAAATTCGTAATGGGAAAAATAAAAAGACCTCAGGACGAGACCTACTAGATCTGACTTTAATTCAGCTCGGTTTTTTTTAACCTTCACCGCCTTCACCGCTGTATATTGGTCCGCCAATGCATTTGAACGCATACTCCTTGCGCCCAGCATATCCACTCATTCAACGCGCCCAATCATAGGGGCAGTCTGGACAACTTCCGGAGTTTACATTTTTCTCTAGAGCTAAGACTGAAGGATAAACTAATTGGTTGGGCACCCAAAGTGCTTCATATAGAATCTGCTCATCTTGAAACATTCTGACCCAGAGAATCTTCACAGTATGAGCTCAATCTCTCACACAATATCAGCGACCCAAAATATGGAACGCGATCAAATCAAAGAATGAACTTTCACCGGATTCCATTTACTAACAAAGTTCTGGCACATGACCGTTCAGTGAACACAAAGCTTCCGAGAAGGATCCTCTGCTTATTTAGCGGAAGTGTTCTATTCAAACCTCTACACCGAATGATGGAACCCTTGTACTTTCACCAGTGAATGAATGCGGTCAGCGCCTAACTGTTTTGTTTCGTTCTGTATCCTCATATTCAGAGTATACTTTTAAATGGAGACAATAAATACAGGTCGCTTTTAAAAAAACATTCCAATATGGGCGAAATTTTACATGATTTGCTTTCCTGAGTACACTTGTTCCCAAAAGTACAGTGTCAATAGTTTCCTAGTTCTCTGGTTCCTTTATGGAATATTCAGAATTTAAACGCCTCTGAGACGATGCCGTAGTCGCAGGTGGCCAGTGGTATGTTGAGCAATCGGACACTGTTGGTTTCATATGATCTGATTTTGTCGTATGATATGTTCCTCTCATTCGATTGCCTAAAAATTGGAACCAGTAGAAGGAGCAGTAAAATCTGTGACTCA